AAAATAGGACAGGGAGAGTTGGTACTTTCTCTGGTTTTAGACTCCTGCCTACACCATCACAGTATTAAAGGCTGAACTGCTTCATTTTTGGCTGGTTGCTTTAATCAGCTACTCTGACACCTGGCAGCTCAGCTCTCTTGTGCCCAGCTCAGCTGAACCCCAGTCAATAATAATAAGCAAAATTCACTCATTTGCAATTGAAAGCACTATCCGAAGAGGCTTTTCAGAGCATCACAAAATATGAAGTTTCCCCCTTAATTTTTCATTAATTCCTGAATATATTAGTTTGATGTTTGCAGTAGGGCGAACAGAGGTTGCCATAGGACAAAAATATCATTGAGAAGCTTGCTCAACTTCGAATAGTCTTTTATCTTTTTTGCTTCACAATCAAACCTATAAATAACAGTTTGATGGATGCTGCCTCTCTGTTTCTTTTCATCACCCAGCAATGTGAGCCAGTGTGCACTCTCTTGGTCCTCAACATCCCTGCCTTATCTCAAGGCATAGATCAAATTGTCATCTCTCACCTCAGGAGCTTTTTTTGAAGGCCCACATAAAGTCAGTTTGTTTTAAGACAAAAAAATGTATTAAACATAATGCCATTTAAGAGAGTATATATCCCTGTTTATCCAACAGCTTTGCATAATGAATGACCCTAATCAATTGATATGCATATTCCATTTTGCAAAGTAAAATCTAGTGGAGCCAGTCAGCCCTGTTGGAATCCTAGATTTTCGAGGCATCACCATACTATCTGTGGGGATAATATTACCGGTCTTTGCAGGGTTCTATGAGGGTAAAATGAAATAATGTGATCTTCAACACCTATTTCATCCCTTTCTTCTGCACCTGTTTTCATATGTAACTGGTTAAAAAGCTGCTCAACTTTGTGGCCCAGACATAGCATGGTGTCACGGACAATGTAACACCAATGTAACAAGTAAAATAATGGAGAGGCAAGTTACATATTCATTGCAGAGTCTTAGAAAAATGCCAAAGGGGTGCTCTGCTCAGAAAATAAAAAGATCTTAAATTCCTTTTCACCATCTACTCCTCCAAAGTCCTACTTGTTATATAAGTGTATCTGCTCTCAATCCCTCTCACAAGTCTCCAAAGTGATGTTTTAAAATTTTTCCAACCTCCCACCTGAGGAATGTTTTCTTTTCCTCAACTAACAAACCAACCTCTTCAAAGAAAAGCATTCTCTTCTCTCCATTAGTCATTTGCTCACTCTGTGTCACAATGGTCCAAGAATCCAGCTGGTCATACCAATCTGCTCCTTTCCAGGCACAGGAGGTGGAGATGTTGAGTATCTACCAGCACTAAGGGGTTTGTGGAGCTAAGCGACTTGCTCACGGTCACAGATTTCATAAGGGAAGGATTTAACATTCACTTTTTTCTCCTCCTTCCTTCCCTCCATCTCCCCACTGTCCCCATTCTAGGGCTCTCTTTTCATAAACCAAACTGCCCTAATCATGCATCAACATGTCAGTATAAATGAGGCATAAAAATGTGTGAGTCTTGCACTACTGTTAACTTGTTGGATGGGAGGACTGGGGAAGACCTGGGAGTGATCAGTTAATGCATGTCAGAGTATTTTATAGAGAAATGAGTTCTGCCTTTAGAACTTGGAATGTGTATGCTACAATACAAAGAATGTGTGCTACAGAGCAATAAAAAAGAAAAAAAAATCTGCCAATGAGTAGAACCTGAACCAAAGAAACTTTTGTCTAACAAAATTACCTCAATTATACTCCAACACTCCAATAGTCAATTAAAACACAGTAACTACACCAATATTAATTTTAAATGCACAAACCACCAAAAAATCCATTTGGTTCAACCTATCCCATATATGAGAGGTCTGACAATTAAATTTGCCAACTTGTTGCAATGATGTTGCTAACATTTTTTGATATCAGAGGGATTATTCATTATGAATTTGTGCCAACTGGACAAACAGTTAACCAAGTTTACTATTTGGAAGTGCTGAAAAGGCTGCATGCAAAAGTCAGACGACCTGAACTTTTCACCAACAATTCATGGCTCTTGTATCATGACAATGTACCAGCTCACATGGCACTGTCTATGAGGGAGTTTTTAACCAGTAAACAAATAACTGTATTGGAACACTCTCCCTACTCACCTGATCTGGCCCCCAATGATTTCTTTCTTGACTCAAAGATAAAGGAAATATTAAAAGGAAGATTTTTTTTTTTTTTAAGCTGAGCCATCCTGCCATCTGTTGGCAGCTCAGCGGCAGCTCAGCTCAGGCCAGGCATCGAACTGCTGTTGCTCAGAGCTCAAACTCTTGAGCGAGCTCTTAACCAACTGAGCCACTCGGCTGGCCCTAAAAGGAAGATATTTTGATGACAGTCAGGACATCAAGGGTTATACGATGACAGCTCTGATGGCCATCCAAAAAAAGAGTTCCAAAATTGCTTTGAAGTGTGGACTAGGTGCTGATGTCAGTGTATAGCTTCCCAAGGGCAGTACTTTGAAGGTAACTGTAGTGATATTCAGCAATGAGGTGTAGCACTTTTACGAGGATGAATTTGTGAACTTAATTGTCATACATTCATAGTATTAGCAATAACAACTAGGGAAGAAGAACTTTAGGATAAAGTAGGAGAAGGAAGACTCCAGAAGTGCTAAAAGAAAACTGAACAAAGCATTTTAAAGAGTAAATAGAGATCATAAAATATTAAATGTTGGCATAGATATAATTTTATATCATGATTCCTATTATAAAATCATATTATTGTTCTAAAGAAGTAGCCACTTACTATTTTTGATTCATATGAACTCTCAAAAACAAGGAACAAGAAATCAAAGAGAAAACCTGAAGACACTGGAAAATAAGAAAGCAAATTAATAGCCTCCAGATCTATACATAGCTTTTAACATGAACACACTACTTTTAAGTTTGGGATGATTATGAAGACGTTTTATAAGAAGAGTATTTAAAACCAAATCCATGTCAAGTGCCAGCCACGGCCTGCTATCCTGCACACTTGCCTACTGGGTGTAAGGAAACACTGCCATGAGGTGAACGCACAATGTGCACCAGGCAAGGCCCAGGCAAGAAAACAGCCACTCTGGGGAGCTCCAGGGATGGATTTGAATATGGAGAAACAGTTACCAAGGTGGCAACAGAAGCTAGAGGTTACCAGTGGCCTGGGAGGGAGGATTAGGGAATTATTAATTCATAGTTACAAGCGTTTTTGTTTTGGGTGACGGAAAAGTTTTGGAAGTAGATAGCGATGATGGCTACATAACATTGTGGACGTACATGATGCCACTGAATTGTACACTTGAAATGTTGATTTACTGAATTTTCCACTTAGCAATGGTCCAACTGAGGAACTTCAGGCTGTGTATATTTTAATCACAATTAAAAATAACAGAAGTAAAGAAGCAGCCGATGGAAAAAGTGACGGTAGAGCATAAATATCAACAAAAGACAGTGTGGCAATTTATAGATTAACCATAGCGATAGATGAACCATAGTAGGAATTCTTTGTGTCTAGGGTTGGAGGGAATGAAAGAGTGGGAATCGGATACTAGAGTCTGGGAACCAAGGTTCTGGCAGGACTGGGGCAAGAGTGGAGCCTTCCAAAGGGAGCTGGGGCCACAAAGGAGACACAACCACTGCTGAAGAAGTTGCCCAAAGCAGTCAGAGGCAAAAGTATTCAGCTTCTTCCGTCCTCCTGTCAACTTCCCACCACTGCCTGACAAGGACCAGAACTAGGTAGAAGACAGAGGTTACAGAGCCCAGCAGTGGAGTTAGCAGGGTTCAGTCCCCACAATCCAGAGTGGAGCAAGGAACAGATAGGCAATGGATCTGGGAGAAACAGTCAAGTCATCCACACACAACATGCATCGCTGGCAGTGTAGTTGGGTGTGTCTCAAAGGAATCTGGTCAAAAATATTATAAGGATTTGTTCAAGTTACAAAACATATTAGAGAAAGAATGGTAAAAAAAAACAAATCTTCACCTGAAACTCAACCACTAACAACTACCTCTGCAAAAGGATTAAAAGTAGCCCTTCCACTTACTTTTTTGGGCCACAGGTGGATTTATGTTTGTTAAACAAGTTATAACTTAAATCTTCCAATGTGAGGCTCTTTATTTCCTATCTCAAAGGGGATGTAGTGGTTTCCTTACCATCTCCAAACACTTGATTCTGTGTAGATGTCTATCTTTTCCAAGGTTAGTGTCATACTTCATACTGTCTTCATCTTATGCTATACAAGTAAATAGTTCATACAACGGCTCTCAGTGAGACACTGCCTTCTTTAAAGCCCATCCATTTTTTTTTCCTCTTAGAGCATAAACTCTTAAAGTGTTTGGTCTTTAGCAAGGGTCAGCAAAATTTTTCTGGAAGAGAACACATAGTAAATGTGTTTTGAAGGCCACATGGTCTCTGTCACAATCACTCCTCTCAGCCTTCCTAATGTGAAAGCAGCCATAGACAATCTGAAAACAAATGGGAGTGGCTATGTTCAAATAAAACTTTATTTATGTGCATTGAAACTTACATTTTACGTGTCACAAAATACGAGTATTGTTCTTCACTTGACTTTCATTCTAGTATTTAAACAGGTACGAACCCTGCTTTTCTTATGGGCACTGCAAAAATAAAGGTGGGCTGCCGAGTCCTGGTTTACAACCTAATACTTTCTAAGATCTGGCCCGTGCCTTCTTTTTCAGTCTTACGCCTCCCATCTTCCACCCTTACCTTATGGTTCAGTTATGCTGAGCTACTTTCCATTCTGTTAGCATCTTATACTATTTGCTATAATTTCTCTCTGCCTGGAAAATTCTTCTTCTATGAATTCTGCAAATCCCTGCTCAAAGTGTACCTCCTCTGAGACGCCCACCCAGGCCCTTTGAGTAGCTTTATCCAACCTTTCCCTTATAACCTCACACTATCTACAATATGTGTATATGGATCTAAACAGGATTCTCACTGTATTGAAAGTATCTGTACACTTACTTTCCCATTGACTTCTGCTTCATGAAGACAAAGACTTTGCTTTATTTCTGTTTCCATATCTGTTTCCAGAATTCTGTGAAATGCCTGGAATATGACAAATGCGTAATGAATTCATGAATGAATAAAGATTGCCAATTGACTAAAATGAAATCTCACTCTTCATCATATCATATAAGTAACCACCATGTAGGCTGAGTTTAGCAATGTTTCCTCATCTATCCACTAGTGAGTAAGTTTCATCCAGAGGATCATATGTAGAAATTCCCTTCACACCTGACGGTTCACAGTCAACTACTGCAATGACTGAAGAGCAGCTATGACCAGAAATACATTGTTTTTACTTTTTTCCTAGAGACTATAGTTTTTAAAAGTTCCTAAAGAAGAAAAATAGAGATTGAGATCACTATGGCCACCAATAGCCAAGGACCCTTGGGCACATGTGCGTGAAATGCCCAGAAACCACACTGGTGACTTTTGGGCAGTATTACTGTCATTGGATAGAAGAAGAAAGAAGTAATTCACTTTAGAAAGTAATTAAAAACATTTCTTTTTAAGAAAACAAACTGGTAAACAAAGCAATACTGTGTTTCAGACTTTAAAAAATTGTGTGATTTTCTTTTTGAGGATAAATTGGCAGTTTGTAAAGAAATTCCATACCAAAGATACCTGCACTTTGTTACCCTTTAGGAAAGAATCTTCTATGTTCAATATTCCTAGAAACATTGTTATTAGTGGATGAGGACTCTGAAGAACAACTTCATAGCAGCCCTCAAAATTATAAAGAAATATATTAAAAAGGAGAATGAAATACTGCTCTCTATGTCCTGAGCAACAGGAGCATGTATAAGAAATTTAAGTTCCATATTGTCAAATATTACCAGTCTATAATGATTTAAAGACATTGGAAGGATTTCTTATTGAAGACAGTTATTCTGAAGGTTTTAAGGAAAAATCTCTGGCGGGGGGTGGATATTCTCTCTAGAAATAATTAGGAGAATTTCATGTACTAAGATGTAATTATATAGACCTCATTAAAGAGTAGAGAGCGGGAATGGATTCAATGGAATTGTAATAGATAAGCATGCTATCGGGGATGGGAGGGCAATAGATGGGGGGAGGAGGGTTGTTACCTGGTGAGGGTGAAAAAGGGTAACTATTGTATTGTTCTGTACACCTGAAACTAACAATAAAAAAATAAAAATAAATAAATAAATAAATAAATAAATAAATAAATAAGAAAAAACCCTACATTTGTATGCTGTTTATGTTGTAATATTTTTTCATAAATTTATAGGGTGATCATATGTTTATTAACAAATTTTTCAGTGAATAAATGAAACAGCTTTTTACAGGTAAGTGTGGCAAAGGAAGACACAGATCCCTGTCTTGAGCTGTCTATACTGAATGTTAGATATGAAAATGGAACTACTTTGACTTGGACGTACGAAACCTGTGTAGAAACAGCAACTGGTGCCAGGACTCATGTGTGTAACTCAAAAGCTTAAACCTTCTGGCAGGAGATGTGAACTGAAAGGTAATCAACTAAGATGCAAATTGGGGATATATAATTTAAATACCAAGAGATTAGGAGTTGCTGCCCTTCTGTTATCTTTTGGAAGTTGTCTTAATTTTAAAAATTAAAGTCTAATTACTGGTTAGTGGCAAAAAGTTGGCCTGGGGCTTTTTATACACCTCAGATTTTCATAGTACCTCCTATTCCATCACCAAAATTATCTTAAAAAATTTCCAAACATTGTAATGACATTAAAACCAAGCCGAAGGGTGTGACAAATGCTACCTCACCTAAAACTTAAACAACAAAGACACAGACATCTAAGAAATGGAAAGTATTTAAACTCCAGCACAAAACGTGAAGAAATCTCTATGATTAAGGCAAAGAAAGAACATTCGAATGCTTTTCTTTTCTTTTTTCTAAAGTTTATTGCTTTTCTTTTATAAACACTGGTAATCAAACTGAAATTTGTGTTGCAACTCTTGGAACTTCCTGAAAGATTATTTTGCTATGAAGCTTGTGTCTACACATATTCATACCAGACAATGGAAAGAAAACAAAGGAAGTAGCTTCCAGAAGCAGCGGCTGAGATCCAGAATATGTGGGTGGAGAAACTGTCTACTAATGTTGCACGTCGTTTCCTCTTCGGAGGGTCAGGCTTATGTCAGTTTTCAGACAACATTAACATGAAGCTCTTACAGACTTCCTTTTCCTCTTATTACCCTTGAATTCTCTTCAGTTGTATAAGAAGAAATAGGTCATTTTGCTATGTAAGATCTTGTCAACAGTTCTGTGACAATGACTATAAAGCATATTTGGGTTAGGTCAGAGAGAGATTTTTTCCTTATATATAGAATAATTTTACATTTGAAATTTGTCTACACAAAACTACAGAATGTAAATTCAGTTTCAGAAGGTGGGCTATAAGAAGGCAGGGAAACTAAAAGATATATTCCTTAAGAAAAAAGTAAAGATAAATTTAAGATGCAACCAACTGAATGGGAGAAGATATTTGCAAACAACACCTATAATAAAGGGCTGATATCAAAATATATAAAGAACTCGCACAACTCAATAACAAAAAAACAAACAATCCGATTAAAAATGGGCAGAGGACCTGAACAGCCATTTCTCCCAAGAAGACATACAAATGGCCAACAGATACATGAAAAAATGCTCAACTTCAGTAGCTATTAGGAAAATGCAAATCAAAACCACAATGAGGTTTCACCTTACACCTGTTAGAATGGCTATCATCAACAAGATAAACAATAACAAGTGTTAGAGAGGCTGTGGAGAAAAACGAACCCTCATGCACTGTTGGTAGGAATGTAAATTGGTATAGCCATTATGGAAATCAGTATGAAGGTTCCTCAAAAAATTAAGAATAGAATTACCATATGACCAAGCAATCCCTCTCCTGGGTATATAACCAAACAATCTGAAAACATTTATTCATAAAGATATATGTACTCCGAAATTCACTGCAGCTTTATCTATGGTGGCCAAGACATGGAAACAACCAAAGTGTCCTTCAACAGATAATCGGATAAAGAAGATGTGGTATATATACACAAGAGAATACTATTCTGCCATAAGAAAAGATGAAATAGTGCCATTTGCAACAACATGGATGGATCTTGAGATTATCATGCTAAGTGAAATAAGTCAGACAGAAACAGTTGAGAACCATATTACCTCACTCATATGTGGGATATAAAACTGAAAGCAATAAAGGAACAAGACAAACAAAGAAACAAAAACTCATTGACACAGATCAACAGTTCAGTGGTTGTCAGAGGGTAAGGGATGAGGGGGGATGGTGGAATTGGAAAAGGGGATAAAATACATTAACGGAAGGAGAACTGACTCTGGGTGGGGAGCATAGAATATAATATATAGATGATGTATAACAGAATTGTACACTTGAAGCCTATGCAATTTTACTAAATATTGTCACCCTGATAAATTTAAAACAAATACACACATGTACACATGCGCACACATATATACATTTTTAAAGCAAATTATACTTTCAAATTATTTTCCTTAACAATTTTTCATACTAGTAAATTAATTTAAGGTTGAAGAAATAGTTTAAAACACAAAGGTAAACAAGATTATGTCTGCAAAAAGTGAAGGAAATTCAAACGTCTGCATTTCAGAAAATTTGAGAAAGTGAAACAATACATTTTTAAAAATTAACGTTTATTGGGGTGACAATGGCTAGTAAAATTACATAGGTTTCAAGTGTACAATTTTTGTAATACATCATCTATATATCACACTGTGTGTTCAACACCCAGAAAATAATACAATTTTTTAAGAAAAAGTTCCAATGTTACATTCTATTACTGGAAATATAATATACCATATTACATGACCATATGGTCATGGAAAGTTATAAGTATAATTATTTTTGTAAATAAAAATATTTCAAATGCATGAGTGCATTTAAAAGTTTAACAATATTATACTATTTAAATAATACATTATTAATAATATTAATATTAATAATTTAATAATATATGCCCTCACTACTACATGCCAGGTTCTGTTTAAAGTTGTTTGCATATGTAACTATTAATCTTCACAATGACTTTATAAAATAGGTATTATTTAACCCCATTTTACAGATGAGGAAATTGATGCACAAAGAAATTAACTTGCCCGAGATCACACAGGTAGTAAGTAGCAGAACTAAGATTTGAACTCACTAAGTCTATCACCCTTAACATTGTGGAGGCCATGTCCCCATATACCACCATCATAATCTGTTGATGAGACAAAGCTGAGTTTGTGGCTTAGACACCTCCAGAGCTTCAGCAGTGCCTCTGAGGAGGGAACCAAAGGTCAAAATTTATTGAAAATTAAAAGTTTGGTTTAACACAGGTCTTACAAAGGGATGATTTGATTAGGAATGGGTAAAGATTCACATACAACAGTCTAGGATTGGTGGAAACACAAACTGAAGATATTTTAGGCAGAACATTTAAAGTATTTAGGGCACCAACTGTCTATTGATACTTTCTGTTGAAGGTGGATCAACCTGGACCTGTATAAAATATTAAGCCATTTTCTTGCACTAACATGTTAAAAAAGACAATGAAATAGGAAAGTCATGTGAATGTACATAATGAGTTGTATGGAGGCAGGAAATTTTGTCCTCACTGCCCAGGCTGGGTGCATGGGTATATATACTTTGGGTCCCCCATATCTTTTAAAAGAACAGTACATCAATTTATGCTTCTGTTTGAATCAATACGCCTGCTGAATAAATTAACTTTTTAGGTTGATATTTTAATATGATTTTCAAAACATCATTTATGTTCATAAATCAATCAGGAAAAGTAAATTAATCAGGGCATTTAATAAATAATTTAACTTGCTATCATTGAATTCTATGGAGATGTCTCTGCAAATTAATATATTTGAATACCTTGTAGAATTGAATAAAATTGTTTAATGAACCTCAATGGTTTTTAGCCTTAAAAGTAAACCTTAGAGTTCTGTCTAGGACATGTAAGAACAGGCTGTTTTTTTCTATAGTAGGTGTATTTTCTTATCCATG